GAAACTTATGAGACTCTTCATAAGACATATATTAAAAATCCTTATCGCATGTCTAATAAAAAAGATGGTTGGTAAACATTTGCAAACTTATTAGCTTCAACCATGTTGGCTATAATAACCGAAATTCGTGAGACAAATGGAATTATATCACCATGGACTACAAAGTTAAATTCTGGTTTTCCAAGTATTGGCTTAAGAAGAATCGTTAAATATCGCTAAAAAACTTCTTTGTGTGATACTTGTAAATCATCTGATTTTTTTGTTTTTGAATCTTTAGCTTTTAAAACTGTGATATATCCAATTAATGCTTTAGATTCTGATTTGTTTCTTTGAGAATTTGGAATATTACTGAGAGATAAAAATATAAGATGTCCAAACGATTTGCCTATATGGTCTAAAGCTGTTGCATCATAAAGAATAATCAAAAGCAATCGTTGACCAAGTAAAAAATATGATTCTTCTTTCTTCCACCAATCAGTGTTATATTGCTCTTTGAATATACGGACTTCTTTATCTTTCATATCCTATTTCTCTTTATATTCTAGTACAAGATTCTGATTAATACTATCAACTGCCAATAAGGACTTTATTGCTTTAATCAATGATCAATAGTAGAAGGTATATTCAATATCCTGAAACATAATAATAGAGACCTCTTTAAACATGGTATATGGAATATTGGAACTATCTAGAAAACCTTTTCTGATTTTTGTTGATAGAGGCAATAGCAAAGCTTCTAAGTTAGAAAATTTATTAAAAAAAATTATAACAGCATCACTAGCCAAATTTGACAACTGATATTTGGTGACGATTGTCATAAACTTTTTATATACATCACCAGGCCATTTTACTATCAGTAGATTCCGCAAATCTTGATAGGCATCATCTCTTGATGTATCTTTATAATCCTCTGGGTCAATTTTAATATTTTTTGATTCATTATCGATTGAAAAAGATTCGTCTTTGATTGGAATAGATTCATCTTCAGTTAGAAAAAGTTCATCTTCAATTGGAAGAGATTCGTCTTCGATTGGTTCGTCTTCCATTACTTGAGGCTCATCCTCTACTAAATTAGACTCACCACCCATCACATTAGATTCATCATCTATCTCTATTAGAGAAACATAGTCATTATCCTCAGCTTCATTTTTGTTCTAAATTTAAATAATAATTAGTTAATATTCACTAACTTAAATTAAAAACTTATATTAAAACATATTTACAAAAGATTCAGCTAAAAAATAATCATTAGAATCTTCTGATTGTGGTGGCAATCTCCATATTTCATCATCTAAATATTGCTGAATAGTTGTCGTTAACTCGGATGTAGTATCTCTAATATAAGGGTGACTTAGCATGATATGCAGTGTCAAATCACTTTGTCTTGAAAATACTCTATTTATACCAATTTCTTCACAATAATAGTATGACCAAGTCATTTTGTTTTTATTTAATAATAGAAAGTAATTAAATAAATATTATACCGAAATAATAAGAATCAACTTAAACAAAAAAATTATCTCAAAACAATTTGTATAGAAGAGTTGTCAAATTTTGATTTGCTAAAAATAAACTACTTAACATTACTAGTAATATACTATTAATTACAATTGTTGTTAAAATAAGTATTTTTATTAGCATTTTATTATAAGCAATTCTATTTGTCGCCAGTGGTGACAAGCCCAAATCAATCAGATTGCATGATTCAAAATCTCAAAAATTTCAAATAAAAATAACCCAAATGATGCCAACTTCTGTGTATTAACAAATACCCTTTCTAACCCTAAATATAACTCTAAATAAAAATCCAGGTATTGTTACCGCCGGTAACAAGTAGATTATTTATTATATTCTAATAAATATATTTGCAATTTGGTTGCAATAAATTAGTTCAGATTAAGGTCTAAAAATTCCTAATATATTAAATAGTTAAGTGCTGATAAATTATTAATATGCTCTAAAAATTAATTATACTATTTGTGATCAATTACTAGCAGTTTATCTTGCAATATTTAATAAATAAATTATAATAACATCTAAAACCCTATTTAAATTATAACGACATTAAATAATTTTTCTATATAATGAACAAAATTATTTTTTTTTTGTTTTTATCTTATATAATAATAAACTACTGTATTTTATCTTCCAATAATAATCACGATTCTTGAATCTTCAGATTCATCTTTATTAACATGGCTAGTAGAAACTCCAGGTCCTATGAGCGAAACTCATCAACAACATAAAGTTAACTTCTATCTTCTGGAAATGCACAGCCTAATCAAGAAGGTAATGATTGTTAAATATTTTTTTATAAATTTTTTTTATATATAACTTATTGTTTTATTAGAATGTAGCCGTTGCAATCGTCTAGTCGAAGAACGTCTTTTTGCTCAGTATCAATAATTGTATATTCTAACTAAGCAAGCAGTTGATGGTATTCAAGAAATTAAGAATGAATTAAAACAAAAGAATAAAAAAATAAATATATTATCCCCTCATATTCTTGATGTAGGTTTATTGTTAGTTATATATTATAAATAACAATATTTCTAATAGTCACGTGAACTAAATTATTTCAAATAATGTATATATTAGTATGAACTAAAAAAAATTCTATTTTTAAATCTTTATAGAAAATTTATTCTGGTGTAATCAAGTGTTTGTTTCCAGAACATATATATCCTTTACAAAAGTTATTAAAAGATATTTTCAAGACTTATCTTAATGAAAAATTTTCTAAATGCATATCAAGTATCGATGTTGGTTAGTTTACAAACTTATACTATAGCCAGTGGGCAAGCCAAGTAATATTCTAAATTTCGAATTTGACAGGATGTAAGATCGATCTTGCAAAACTTAAATTTTAGTTTAAGTTTGGTAAGGTATTAACTTTTTTGGTTTTCGTAATTCAGCTTGATCATATTTTATTTGATAAAAATTTTTATATAAAAATCCTATTTCTTATATATATGTATATATATATTTTTTTTTTTTTTGTTAAAAAAAAAAAAAAAAAAAGCCAGATTGCCAAGCCTGTTTTAAAATTCAAACTAAAGAATTATTTGGCATGGTCTAGAGATTGATAATTGAAATTTTAAAAAATGCATGAATGATCTTACATTGTCAAATTACATGAAATTGGAAATTTTTTATTAAAAATCCTGGGTCCTAGTTCTGCTATTGCAATTAGTTACTTAATTTTTTTTTATTTGATAGCTCACAGTTAAAGTAAAAAATCATTATGGT